TCTACTTTATTTGTTTTATGTTTTTCTGTTGTTTTACTTTTACAAATGATAATATTTCATTTCATTACTAAACCAGTTTGCATGTAACAGCTACTTGTAGTTTTGCTGACTTTGTGACATATTTATTGTTGGGTAATTACTATTGAGTAGATGTTTGAAATCTGTCACGGATGGGCTAAGTTTGAGCAAAGGCTGCAACTCATTCCACAGAGGTCGCTCTATATTGAAAGGTCCTTTGGCCACTAGCAGTGCGGAAGAGTGGTATGTTCAAAAGTTGAGAGTTCCTGGTAGTCCTTGTCAAGACGGGAGATTATGCAATACTTTGGAGTAGCACACCTTGGAATATCCCACAAGTGACTTGAATTTTCTCAGTATACACACAAGACTTGAACCAAGTGTCAAGAAAATACAAGTGACAAGTGAGATATTCCATTTTATACCATGAGAGAGTGATAGCTACTTTATACCATGCCATGGAAAATACAGTGGCCAACACTGTCAATATGACATATGCGCAGCACATGATGGGAAGGTTGGATGTAATACCATCGAATATACTATGGCTTTCCCGTATTCTGATTTGCTGTATTTTTTTATGGCATGGAATAAAAAGCAATGTTGTTTGTGTATTCCCTTTAGCACCTTCACAGTGATCGTCATCAGTCATTTGCCAGAGATTCATCAAACTACCAAAGCCTGGATGAACTAATTAGTAAGGGACCAAGTTTGCAGGACTTCTTGGCTAAAATTCTGCTGAAGCACGAACAGAGAGAGAGAGAAAAACAAGAAAACAGCAGGTGAATATAGAGAAAGTTTTACTTGGGTTGAATTTCCGTGCCAAAAATTGAGAGAGAGATCAACATCCAATATCTCCTTAGAATTTCAAAACACTGTTAGGCAGATGAGTGATGAGAATTTAGAAATCCATCTAGTAAATGAAGGGATACTTTACTGTTTCAGTTTGATGTTATACCAAACGGGGGATGAGGGAGATTTGACTTCACGAGCTGTTTCTCTCTGCAAGGCGGGGTTGTCGAAAAAAGATAATTCCTCCGAAGATCACCAACAGTGTACTTCATTATGTGTCTTACGTTTCGTTTGTGATCTTCCGCTGTTTTAGGAGTAAACCACCAAGTTCTGGAGTATCCCTGGTGGATCGAGACGGAGAGAAAACGCCCTCAAAACAGAACAAACAAGAAATAATACCAAACTGTCAAACCCCACCCGACCAAGCCCTGGAGGAAAATAGCAGCTGCCGCACACCCAACAACCCCTCCTCTGACAGGAGCCGTGCTTGTCATACTTCCACCACTGACTCCTCCCCAAAGAAAAAGTCAAGTGGAGATGGTACACCAACAAGAGTGCTGAGACCAAGAGGCGGCCAAGCCGGCCATGAGGTCGAGATGGGTGAGTCACGACAGTTGCGTAGCAGTCCAAGACTGTCAAATTCTTCAAACAAAAATAGCAGTCCTAGCGAGGTTATGGACAGTGCCACTAGCAAGGATGTCAAGAACAAGCGTTTGAGTTCAGAGAAAACACGTGATGAGAAATCTGCGAAGCGAG